ACGTACTATATTATTAATCTCAAGTTTTCATTCTAAATTTTCAATCTCATTTTTTTTTTTTAACCATATTATAATTTTATGAGTGAAGAGATTCAAACTTATCTCTTCTATTAGAGGTGCACCTAAACTTATAACTATTAAGTCAAAGAAGTTGTACTTAGTCTCCTTATTATTACTCTCTATAATTAGAAAGTTTATGCTTTAACATTATGACATTTTGTTACTATTTTTTGTTCTCTTTGTGTACATATATGTATGCTGTACACCAAACACGGATTACGGACCCCTTTTAATCCTATTTGTACTGGAGTTTCATGACACCTCAAAATTAGTTTATGCTTTCGCTTGTGAACTATAGAATCTGCAAAATCAGGGTCAGGCACGACACGCGGCTAAACCAAAATTTTAAGAAATCGCTAGAGTCAAGCGATGACACAACCGTGGGAAGCTTCGATGTCCAAGATAACTCCAAACCGACAAAAACAACCGTGGGAAAATTATTGTTGTGGAAAAATGAATTATGCCATCCATTCACAATCGTGGTATAATGATTTCTATTTGTTCCATAAACATGATCTAAACAAATTGGTGCTATTTGATCATGAAATACCTTAAGAATCCAAGTTCTAAGGTTTTAAGAAGAATGAAAATGCAAGCCTTGAATTATGTTCTGTTGAAAAGTGTTCTTTGCTGTAAAGGACATGATGAACTACTTTTACGTTGTTTAGGTCCATATAAGTACTATCAAATTATGTCAGATGTACATAATAGAATTTGTGGTACACACCAAATTGGAATTAAGATACGCTGGTTAATTCACAAACATGGGTTTTTCTGGCCATCAATCTTAAAAGATTGCATCAGTTCTGCTAAAAGTTGTAAAGCCTATCAAATTATTCATGGACCACTGTAGAAAGTTCCAACATAAATCTTGAAAGATTGCATCAGTTTTACTAAAAGTTGCAAAGCCGATCATATTCATGGACCAATACAGCAAGTTCTAGCATTAGAACTCCATTCGATTGTCAAACCATGACCATTTCGAAGATGGGTCATAGATCTGATTGGTAAAATTTATCCTCCTTTAAATAAAAGGTATTTTTTCATTATAGTTGCCATAGATTATTTCACCAAACAAGTGGAAGCAAAGCCAATGAAGAAGGTAGACTAAACTGATATTATTAAATTTCTCAATGAAGATATTATTTATAGATTTAGTCTATCAAAACCAGTAACGTTAGATCAGGAGACAATTTTTGTTGATTCACAAGTGGAGGCATTTGCAAAGGGAATGAGCTTTTGTCTACTCACTTCAACCCCTCATTACACTTAAGCCAACCGTCAAGTAGAGACTTTCAATAGAATTGTGATAAATCTGCTTGAGAAGATGGTTGATGATGATCCAAAGCGTTAGCATAAGCTAATATCTCACGCTCTGAATAAAACTTCACAAAGGAGTCCTACCAAGGTAACTCCATTCTCTTTAACGATTCAACATGATCTCACTTTTGAAAAATATAATGATGTAATAATGTTAGAACTTGAAGACGTTGAAGACATGCGATTGACAACCTTAAATAAGCTATAAACGCAAAAATTAAATGTGGTCTAAGCATACAACGAGCGAGTTAAATCTAGAAATCTGACTAAAGGAAATCTAGTCTGGAAAGCGATTATGCCACCCAGAAATCGAAAAGACCATTTTGTATTAATAAGTGCTTAAGAGGGTAAGCATATTGGTTTAAATTACTAAATGAAAAGTTACATCCTCAAAAAATAAATGAAATTGACCTTAAACCCTACCATCCTACGATATGGGAAACTAAAAGTCTGGATACCATGAATTCTTCTTGAAACAAATTTGGGGCAAGAATTGTACAATATTTTCTTTTCTTGTTAAGCATTCTGTAATTCAATAAAAGTACTGAACTGAATATGTAAGCAGGCCAAATCTAACTGTGAGCAATTAGAGCGGCAAAATTTCAACCTGCTACAGAGTATGAACAAAATATGCAACAACCAAGTTTTCACAGGTATGAACAAAGACCAATATCAACATCAAAGTCGCAATTCCCATGACCACTAGGCCATAAACATTAAGTTCAAGGATCATGACATGCAAATATAGTTTAGAACAAAATAAGCATATAGGGAGGAGTTAACAAAAGTTGCTCCGCCAATTACTCCATTCTTCCCTCATGTTTTTGAGTTCTTCAGCGGCTTCATCTGCAGAAGCCGTGACAGAAGGAAGCTGATCCTTGATCTCAGAAACAGATTTCAGGCCCACGTCTATATCTGCACGAAGCTTCTTTCGCTGTTCTGCCAAGCTCTTCTCTGCTTGCTCCGCAAGGGGAACCTGTTTCCTTAGTTCTACGAGCTTGGCTTCGAGGTTAGATATCTCCTCCCTAAGACCTTGAAGATGTTTAATTTGTGCAGTATGAGCATCCTTTGCTGCCAAGAACTCATCCTTCTTTTTAAAGACTGCAGTAGTACTATAAGCTACAAATTTCCTAGCAGATTCTACTATCATCGCCTTGTTCTCAAAAGCCAAGAATCTTTTACTAAAATATGCATAAATGATAGTGAAAGCTGCCCAAAATTTGTGCTGAGCAGAAGATAACTGTGGGGCTCGACTAAGTACTTGAGCTGCTTGGAAGGCGGCTTGTTGATCTGGCACTTTACAGAAATGGGAAGGGTCATCGTCAATAAGCTCTTGCAAGGTGAGAATGGCAAACCTAATTTGTTCCTGGGAAGGAAGGTTGACATCTGAGTTTGTCTCCTCGGCGACAAACTTCCTTTTGCTGTCCAGAGCATATTCTAACTTGACAGGGAGGTCTGTCAACATGTCCAGTTTTGCAAGAAGCTCATTTTCCAAATCATCATCAATCTCAGTAATATCTGCAATAAAACTCTACAAAAATTTGAAGACAAAAGTTCAAAGAGATCAGTTGACAAATACAATAACATAATTCAAAACCTACACAAAATTCAAAATAGTAAGACAACCTCAATGTTATCAACATCATCTACTTAACCGGAGAAGTCACAGGTGTGGGTACATTCTTATTCTCTGGGGTTAGATTGATAAGATTATTTAGTCTAACCGCTTTAAAGTTTTTATTAACCATGCATAAAGAAAATCTAGAACCCCTAACTTTTGTGGCTGGTGAAGATTGATCACCAAATTTTGAGTGATAGGAGCCAGAATCATCTTCACCACTTTCATCAGATTTTTCTTCAACAGGATCTGCTATGGCAACAGTTTTGACAGAAACATCTTCTGCTTGGGTAGGTTGTTGCTAGATTTCGATGGCAAAAGTGGCTTCTGATGGGGATGCAGATTAGATGAGTTTTTTAGATGGAGAGGGCTTTACTGCTGGCCTCTTGCAGATTCCAGGTCACCTCCTTCCTCTGTAACATCTTTTTCCTCAAGTTTTTTAGTGAGTGGTAGAGGTGCTAAAGTAGAAATATCATCCAAAACCCCAAGAAGCTGAGAAAGAAAGTATCCTTGCCACCAAGTCTTTTGTATGAGGAAGTGCAGCTTGGTTGAAAAGGAGGATCTAACAAAATCATGGTCTAAAAGATTTGGGAAATTTCAACAAGTTTTGTGGTTAAAATGTCTGATTCTCCTATCACAAAGCGGAGGGGATAACTGTGGTTAGAGAAAAATAGAGACGAAAATGGAATGTATTGGCAGTATCAAAGCTGTCGGCAAAACAAGTTTGGTGCATAAAACTCAACACCACATTTGGAATTAAGGGCATTCATATTAAAGCCTACAAATAGATCTCAAGAAGCCACACATATAGACCAAAATGCTCTAAAATCTGGAGATTGGATATCAGCCTTGCACCAAGAAGGGCTGTGAAATTTACTTAAAAGCACAGTGAAATCTGCATCAAGTCTATCAATAGGAAGAGAAGCAAAAAATCTGAAGCATTCCTCAAAACTCTTCTTATTCTCTGCAACATCTTTGAACATTAAGCCGTAGGTAAGAAGATCTTGACTTGGTATAATAGATAGGACAGAGCAAGTGTTGAAAAATAGGAATAAAGCCACAATTGCAGAATCCAAAGCAGCCCACCACTATTGCCTAAAGGGTAAGCCGTGACATCTTGACAACTTCTGTAAAAGTAGGCAAGCAAAAAAAGACCTAAAGCTAAACGTCTACCGTGAACTAGAGCGGCGGCCAACGGAATAAATTATTTAGTGGGGCCTTTACCAACAGAACAGACCATGTATTTACAGATTAATGTAAGCAGAAATGAAATATGCTCTTGGGCACTGGTAGACTTACTTCGGTCACAAGCAGATCTCACAAAGGCTACAAATGAAGGTTTCAGATCTTTGTGGTCGTATTCAATACCTAGTGGCATGGTCAGAAGTGCAGAAATTTCTTCTGCCGTGCGAGGTAGTCCGATCAACGAGCTGATGTTGAAGAGACTCACGGACATGATGCCACATGGGAAGTGGAAGCAATTGAAAGAACCAGTCCAAAAAAGTAAAGCAGAACTCAAGATCAACCTATCAATGACAAATCTACACTTTGTTAGTTGAATAAACTCATACAAGCCCACATCTCTCCAAATTTGGCCGAAATCGGGTTCTAGGTGATCTACCTAGTCAATCCACTTAGATTTTCTCCAAGTTGGCCAAGGTCCGACCTGGCCAACCCACTTGCTCCAATTGGGCTTCACTTGGAAAGGAAGAGGATGGTCTGTTAGTTGTGGGTATACAAGTTTAAAAGGAATAGGTGAAGGAGAAACGAAATACGGACCCAGAATCTGAGATTTCATGTAAGGGACAAACACTTGATCTGAATACCAAAGTCTTATGGCATTAGAGGATTAGGTTGATTTCACTTTGGAGATTTTTAGCTTGGAAGAGGCTGACCAGATCTACAGGGGGGAAGTTTCTTAGGTTGAATAGCTTTGATTTTAGCCGTTGTAGAAGTAGATTCAGTGGAAGGAAGCTGATCTTTCTTGTCACCGTCCATGGGAGCAGATCTGGGTGGGAGTATAAAGATGAAGAAATCGGTGACATCCCGAGGAAGAAGAAAGAGATTAAATGGTGAGTTTGACTTTTCATTTTCAAAAGAGTTTAAAAGTTGAAAAGGGATTTTAAGAGAAAGGTAATGGAGATAATCTTACAAATTGGTTTGGGAGTTATTTTAGGAGACTCTTTTAAGTAGAAGAAATTCGACATGTGGTATAGGGAGTTAAAGAGGTGCATACAATTTATTTAATTAAAAACACTTGGATTTATTTCCATAAAACCAAGTGTTGGAAAGTATTGTTTACATCATAAGTTGTAAAAAATTTAAGATCATGTCACATGTAAAAAATTTTTAAATGGATAGAGGTCATCTCAAATATGCAACTCTGGATCCCATGATAGATTAGTTATCACATAGGAAAGAATGAGATAAAAAGATTAGATTTTATCGGTACCTTTTTGAGATAAATTGAGTCTATTTTCGCTAAAATTTAGGGTGGTTTTAGCTATGCGTGTGGATTATTAAATAATAAGACAAGTGATGAAATCTTAAAAACAATCTAACTCTATCAACTACTGAGATGTCCCATTTCTTCATGAAACCGTCCACAATTTGCATAACTGTAGAAAGTGGGAGGTTTGCAGCCAAAGAAGAGGAGAATGAAAGAGAAATTTTCAATTATTCAACACACAGCTAGCCCTACACAGAACCTCACAAATTTTCAGACTTCCAATTTCTCTACAATTGCTCACTTTAGTTTACAGATTTTGAATTTCAGCATAATTCCCAGTAGATTTAGGTTGTTTATCATCATTCTAGTAGTCTACCTAGTTCAAGTATTTGTTTCAACAATTTTGTCTCATGTAATGAACATCAATCTTTAAATTTCTGCAAAATATTGTTCCTTTTCTGATTAGTGTTAAATTAATATTTATGATAAGTAGCATTTCATCAAATGATTACTTATATAGCATTCCCGCTTTTCTCAATTTCGAGCATATTAGTTTAGCTCCTATTCATATTTGTTTTAGTGTTTATTAGGATTAAATCTTTAATTTTGTAGTAGTTTAGTTTCTAGATTTATCAATAAATAACAATTTAATCTAATAATGAACATATTTAATTTAATTTGAGTATATCTTATTCTCGTGAATTTATTTTAATTTGCACGTCATTTAGCTCGTTTAGGATCTATTAGCTTTAATCACAGTAGTATTTAAGTTTTTAGAGTTATCCAAAGCAAATTTAGTAACCCATTTTGCAAAAAGACATCTCTCTTTTTGCAAATC